GTGTGTCCAGATCCACTTTTGCTACTATAAGGACGGACAAATCCGCTTTGTGCTGTGGCACATGGTTTAACAGGGTTGAGCTTATTCTCTTAATGAGTTATAGGCGTGTTTTGAGAATAAACCAATCAGAGTCTCATCTCCTATTCCCTTTGTGCCATAGCGCATTTGCTATTTACATGACAGACTTAAGTGGAAAAAGTGAGCATTTCACTTGTAAGAAAACAGTTAGACAGAGCATCTTGCCATTAAATTAATTTTAGCAGAGACGCAGCTGCCTGCCAATCATTTTCATATTAGTTTTTCAGTTAGGGATTAATATTAGAAAGGTCTACAGTATAAATGATATTACAATTTATTATATTCATTATTATGATTATTATTATTGTTGTTATCATTATTATTATTATTATTATTATTATTATTATTATTATTATTATTATTATTATTAGCCAAGCTATAAAACTGACAAAACACAAAACGCTTAAAAATATTTGCTTTAATTTTGACACCATAAAACTCACTTTTACAGTTGTGTAAAGAAACATCCCAGTATACAGCAACAGTCTCAAAATAGGACACTTAAAAAATGCCTTTTGAGTTGATCGGCCTGCGAAAGTCAAGTTTACAGTGTTATAAATTAAAGAGGTATATAGTGCGCAAGTATATGGATTTACCACGGATCCACCCCATGCGCTGCAGGCTGAATGATAATTTAAGTAGATAGACAGGCTCTGTTTTGCTACACTAATGCCTTAAAATGTAACTGAGTAACACATCATTTTAATAACTTTTCAAAAATTACATTCAATTGTAACATTTATTTTTTTTCTAACGCTGATGGGCGGGTAATAAAGCGTGATGACTTGGTTATGATTTAGTTTAGCTTGCATGTGTGGACATTTGACGTCTTACCTAAAACTTTAAAAATGTATATTATTTAAAATAAAACGGAAAGAATTAAGGAGACTAGCATACAATTTAAACCACCTGTTTGGCATAATCTGTCTACATTAAATGTAAACGCTATCAATGCCTAGCCTTCATTGATATAATCGGTAACAGCCCCCTCAATTTTGACATCCTGCCACCAACCTGCTACACTTTCAGAAATAAAGGTACGCAATCTGTCACTGGGGTGGTTTTCAAAAGGTACACATTTGTACTTGAAGGGTCTATATTGGTACCCCAAAAGTACATATTAGTACCTACAAATTTTAAGAGGAATACTTGTACTTTTCAGGTACTAATATGTACCCTTGAGATATAAATATGGACCTTTTAGGTAAAATTTTTACCATTCGAAAAGGTACCACCCCCAGTGACAGATCGTGTACCTTTATTTCTGAGAGTGTATAGCGATACTTTATTATTTGAGAAGAAACAAAAGTGGAAACTGTGGATGAAAACCCGGCTGGGAAGACCACGATAACATGAATTATCTGTTCTTCAACGAAAAAAAAAACAAACAAACAAACAAACGCACACACGACACCAAGACGGCATTTATTATACAACGCAGGTCGTGTTTATGATCATTAATATTAACAACTAATATTAACAACATATCAATAACTCCTCTCGCTTTAAACTTTACCTTTTAGACCTTGTTTTTGTCGGCGTATTATGGGTTTATTGCATGTAGGCTACGAATCAGATTATGAAAAATGATTAGGAGTATGCTTTTCCTTCATTGCATTCTTTTCATAATGTGTTTTATTTATTTATTTATTTTTATTTTTTTTTTTTAAAGATGGGGACAATATTTCCTAGCAAAATGTTCATCCTGTACCAAATTTCCCCTCTGTAGCCTACACAAGTTAACTTACATTTTATGTAAAAATTAAGAAATAACAAAGACCAAAGTATTATATCCGTACAGACGTACGAGTTTATTGTTTAACTTTCGTTAATAAAACAACACAATACAGCCTATAATAATGTAGTTAAATATTACATAACGTTAACTGCTTGAAACAGTATAATAAAAATTAAACGTTACATTTCAAGAACTTCACAAACAACCCAAAATGACACTATACTAATCAATAATAATATAAATAGTAACTAATAATAAGAAAAACAAAAATATTAGCCTATTAGGCTTGTAACAATATAAGTCAGATGTTGAAAAAAAACAGCGTCTCTCCGCCTTTTGTTTTCTGTTAGAATTTTAAATTCTTTTCCAGAAAAACTAACATGTTGGCTTAGTCCAGTTCAAGCGGAGACCTAATGTTTCCAGCCGCACTGAACACCCATTCAGACGGTGTGCCTGTAGCACAAATGCAGATACTTTTTCGCAATTGTGGCAAAGAGAGAACGCTTGCTCCGTTGCCCGCATTTCTCAGAAGGTGTGCTTCTCTACACTGCAGAGCGGCGCGTTCTCAATTATCAAATATGCTGCTTCATTTCTTGTTGTCAACGTCTACTATTTATCACTTTCTCTTTTGTATTTGGGCATTTTTGAAAAAGCCTCTGCAATACCTGGCTGACTAGCTGGGTGTTTGCGTTCATAAGATGACATGACCGGAGCTGGCTCTGCATATCGATGGCTAGAGATGGTTCTGGAGATTCGACGTGCTTGTCCGTTTGACGCTTATTTTTTTAAACAAGCCCTACAATTAGCTTCATCCAAATTATTGGTTCGCCTTTCTTGTTCGCCACAAATCCAAAATGTTCCTAGATTGACGATGTAATATAGGTTTTCCAACGAGGTTCATGTCTGAACTTGAACTTGCTGTATCACGTATGTAGTCCTTGGCTACATAACAGAAAAGTTGTGACAAGAAAAAATGAAGCGCGGTGGTCTTTTGTATGTCACTAGGAAACGACTGAATCAGCTGCTGTGTACGAGTCATGTTATAATTGTAATTTTAATAATAGCCAATTGTGATATTCAAGATTTAAATTGTTTAACTGATACCATTAATCGGTTACAAACGCACCCTTTCAGTTAATGGTTAATCGTTTTTTTTTAAGCATCCCTATAATTAAATCATATGCGCAGGCTCTAAAAAATCTTTTCCCTCACGGCCACACGCCGGAGATCAAGTATTAAAAATTACATTTTTTTTTTTTATAGCTTTACTATTTTATATGCCTTGTTACTACAAATTATATCTGTAATGATAAAGTATACGCAATAGAGTTTCTTATTGCCTTTCTTGCTATAACTGGTGAGTTTCAAAAACACATATAACATTATAACAGCTAGAGTAACATTAAAATAGAAATTCAAAGGTTAGCCCAACTAAAGCAGCCTCTGATCTTCATGATGGTGAGGTCAAATGAACATTTTTTAATAAAAAATATAAACCTTAGTTAATTATAGAATATTCTTGCAAATATGAGAGAATTAAAGACAAACTGTAATCAGTGAAGCTGTTAATGCTGTTATTTAATGCATTTGTTTAATCCTGTTTTAATTAAATTAGTTTGGTGTGAGGCTGTGTCTGTAGTTTTATTTCTTGTTCTTTCCTTCAATGATTGTGCTTGTTAACAGCATGTACCCAATTCACCTGTACTGCATGTCTTTGGACTGTGGGGGAAACCGGAGCACCCAGAGGAAACCCACGTGAATGCGGGGAGAACATGCACACTCCACACAGAAATGCCAACCATTGACCTTGCTGTGAGGCGACAGCACTACCTACTGTGCCACCGTATTGCCAATTTTGTTATCTCATTGTCATAAATTAAAGTAAAGATGTATAACAGCTGTGCGGAATTCTAAAAAATAAATCAAACTGAGTATTTATATTAGGTAAACCTGTCCAACTGCTAGTCAATAACAATTTTATCAGTCAATCACATGACAGCAGCTCAATGCATTTAGGCATGTACACATGGTCAATACGATCTGCTACAGTTCAAACCGAGCATCAGAATGGGGAAGAAAAGTAATTTTAGTGACTTTGAACGTGGCATGGTTGTTGGTGCCAGATGGGCTGGTCTGAGTATTTCAGAAACTGCTGATCTACAGGGATTTTCAAGCAAATCTCTAGGATTTACAGAGAATGATCCAGTGAGCAGCAGTTCTGTGGGTGCAAATTCCTTGTTGATGCCAGAGGTCAGAGGCGAATAGCCAGACTGGTATAGAAAGGCAACATTAATGCAAATAATGACTTGGTACAACCAAGGTATGTAGAACAGCATCTCTAAATGCACAACATGTCGAACCTTGAAGTGGAGGGGCAACAGCAGCAGATGACCACACTGGGTGACACTCTTGTCAGTTAAGAACAGGAAACTGGGGTTACAGTTTGCACAGGCTCACTAAATTTGCACAATAAAAGATTGAAAAAAAAACATTGCCTGGTCTTATGAGTCTTGACTTCTGCTGTGACATTTGGATGGTAGGATCAGAATTTTGCATCAACAACATGAAAGCATGGATCCATCCTACCTTGTATCAATGGTTCAGGCTGGTGGTGTAATGGTGTGGGTGATATGTTCTTGGCACACTTTGGGCCCATTAGTACCAATTGAGCATAGTGACAACGCCACAGTCTACTTGTGTAATGTTGCTGACCATGTCCATCCCTTTATGACCACAGTGTACCCATATTCTGATGGCTACTTCCAGCAGCATAACGCACCAAAAGCATGTCAAAAGCACAAAAGCGGTGGAACAGAAGATTCGCATCATGGATGTGTAGCTGACAAATCTATGGCAACTGCATGATGCTATCATGTTAAAATGGACCAAAATCTCTGAGAAATATTTCCAGTACCTTGTTGAATCTATATCACAAAGGATTAAGGCAGTTCAAAGTGGGTCCAGCCCGGTGTATGTAATAAAGTGGCTGGTGAGTGTGTGTGTGAGTATATTAACATATACACACACATACACACACACACACACTTACATCTTTATATTAGCAAAGTTCAACAATTCTTTTCTTGTTTTTTGTCTGCCAGATGTGTTCTTTTAAATAAGACAGACAGAAATTTAATAACATTGTTTTTAATAGGGCATGTTTCTAAATGTGCAGATTTAGTACCTTAATCCAGGGGTGGTTGAGTGCATCTTGTATTTTAAGCCTTTTTCTGCAAAGCAAGAAAAAAATGAAGAGTTAAAGCAAAAGTACAACTTAAAGACAGTACAGAAACGTACAGAAAAGAGAAATGTGAACTAACATAACTATGAAATGGAAACTTAATTTTGACACAAATAGCAAATGCATTGATATTCTTTTTAAGACTTTTACACCATTTAGATATTTATGAGCTTGAAGCTTTCAGTACTGCCAAGTTAAAACATTAGTTTTACACTTTTAGCAGTTTCTTTTCACTGTTGTACAAATTATTATTTATATAGCTATTTTGAACCAAACAGTTCCAGATCACTACTACAGATGTCAACAGCTACAGTCAGGTATGAAACAAGCTTATTCAACTGACAGTACTGAAAATTACAACTCAAAATTACAATTTAAATGTATAAATAAGGTATCTGTTCTTTTGGATAGAAAACTGCATAAATACTGGTAAAAGATTAAATATTAAATGTAATATTAATATTATATTCAAAAACAATTCATTTATCATTTTAATTAAACCCTACTTCTTAGAAATAACTTAAACAAATACAATTCATTTATAAAGACCCAAAGCTTTTCTGTAGCAATTGTTTCACTTTTTTGAAATCAAAGCTCTATTTGATCCCTGACCTTGTATCTTTCACAAGCAGCTGCCTGATGAAGCTTTTGGCCAGTTCACTTGTGCTGCCAAAGAATTCTTCATCAAATTCAAAATTCACAGCAGAGATGTTTGCAAGAGTCTCCTGCTTGGAGTCACCCAGGAATGGTGATGCTCCACTTAATCTGAAAAAGAAAGGTAAATACTTAACCTATGTACAACTGACAGCTGAAAACATTATTGTGTTCACAGTGGTGATGGGTGTAACAGTTTGGGTCTCCTTTAGAGGGTACTTTAATGTGTGTCTACTGACACTTTGGGAGAGTGTAAGCAAGACACCACAGCAGCTGAACCTGTTGTGCCCCTGATGCAAAGTTTGCCAAACATAGCGTAAGTGCACAAGCATTACCAAGGCTGTAGCCTTCTAACGTCCACAGGCCTTTAATTACCGGAATATGGTAGTAATTTAGAATTTCAGGGGTCATATCAATGCTTTTACCTAACTGTAGTCTTGGGATTTTTAGAATTATGATGTTGGGGAAGTGTGCCAGTCCCAAACCTGGTTAGTGGGTAGGAAAGACACAGGTCCGCCAGGAAGGGAGTGAACATTCCATGGCTGAATGACGCATATGGAATTGACAATGTGGATCACACATAGCTGGCACCAATCTTTAGCATGTGGGAACACTGAGCGGGCGTCTTACTGGACCAGCCACCCAGCTCCTTCACCGAGTTGGTTGCTGGGGGCATTGGAGAAACTTATAGCGGGTGATATAAGATGCCCTTTCCCTGAGAAAGGAAGTGCTTCCAAGTGGGTCATTACTAGAAGTGTGAGTTCAGAAACTCAGGTCCGGTTTGGTCATGGAGGTGCAACACGCAAGCATCTCTGCTGGAGGGACCGGCTCAATTGCATTTTTTACCAGGAGGACATCAATCTAGGTGTAGCGCAGTGATGACCGCTGTGAAATACACACCCATAAACTTAGGATGCCAATGGCAAATTGAGTTGGATAGACGAAATACGAATGACCCACTACCTTGGTCTGGCCAGCACTAACCAGATAGACAGAGTCTGAATGGGCAGCATTAACGGAATGATCACTTATACACCCATGGTGGGGCAGGTCCGGGATGGGGAGTGCTCACCCCAGGAAGCAGCATGTCCTAAGGAAGAGCTGAAAATAATGATTGTCTCTCACCCTACTTCCAATGTCCCATAAGTAGGTTAGAGGAAAAAGAGGAAGGAGCCAGTCCTCTGATGCCCTAGGAGTCAGTGTCAAAGTGCAAGCTGGAAGGCGTGCTGCATTCATCTGCAGGAAGGAATCCTCAGCCCTCCACAGGGGAAAGAATGGCACTCCTCCTCTCCAGGCAGCCCTCTCAGGGTGGCTTCGTGGTGAGTTTATCAGACTTAACAGCGTCCTGGGACGTGAGCATTAATGTTCTTTAGGGGGCTCGGTGCAATCACTAGCCAGAGGTATAGGCTGTGGCAGTGGAGCAAATCTTAGAACTGCAGAAAGAACACTGTCGAACACTGTTGTGAAGAGTAGCTGACAAGGATGAGGATGACCTGCCCCATCGCACACCTAATCTTATACCGCCAAAGACTCCTGGGAAAGTTCCCAAGTGTCGCCTAATAGGCCTACCTGGGAAATGGTCCCGCTAAGAAAGTTACAAGGTAAACCAGGGGGGCCTAGGGAAGAACTGACCTTGTGCAGCATGACAAGCATTTGCGGTTACAGATGGTGCAGGGAAGTGGAATGGCTTACAAAAGGTGTGGGCTCTGGCCATGTGAGACACAGATAACCCAAATACCTTAAATGGGGGTCTCAGCTTACCCCTCAAGGTTGTGGCAACGGAAGTGCATGAAGATTAGGTGGAGACAAACACCCTCCATATCTGCATGTGCTCACTGTGTGACCCCGGGAAGAAGGGGAAGGAGGGTTGGGACGATTTACCACTTACATCAGCACCTGCATTGCACTATTTTTTCACAAAGTGCAACAGGGGTGGCTTGCACTTTCGCAAGTGTGAGCCATAATCTCAGTTACGCAACAGAAATGTCTTCATAGTAAGAGCATAAGCTGTCTGTGAGCACCACATCGACATGCTAAACCGTTGCCTGCTCCATCACCCACACTGAATACATGAAGCTTGATCTCTCTCTCTCCTCTCTCTCTATATTCAACTCAGCAGATATTACCTTTCCAGTAGCATGAGGCTTTGTGAAGCAAAAACGTCTGAAGCTCTACCTCACAGGTGCTAGTTATATACTCCACTAATGATTAATCACTAGCACCTGTGGAGTTTACTCTTCAGAGTGATTGGTCATCTAGCAGACTCCCAAAGTCTCACACAATTCGAGACACACATCAAAGTTTCCTCTGAAGGGGAACTATTATTCATTTTTCTCAAGTGTGGTTCCATCACAACATTTTTTCAGCTTGTAACACTTTAATTTTCCATGTGTATACAACTGTATGTATATATAAGAATATGTCTTTTATTCTGTGGAATGACTATGAATATCTGGATGTCCAGTGAGAGGAGAGATCCACATTTCTCCATCCAAACTCACAGGATATATGTGATGACTCCAATGCTCCTTGAAGAAACAGAGGGGTGGAAGAGAGTACCAAGTTAACCTATAGCCAAACATGTTTACTGTATGTAAAAAGCATGATTAGGAGTTCTCACCACATGTCTGCTTCTAATCCTAGTGGCTCGTAGTTCACTATCTCTGGAGCTGAAAGTAAATTTAGTTAGAGGCATCAGCTAAATTTAATTCAAATCCATGTAGAATGTTAAAGGATAGTAAAACAATTAAGCAGCATCTGACCCATCAGTGTCATTCAGTAATCTTAAAATGTATCACTCAGTTAGTGTTCTATATAACAAGTTGTTAAAATTACCAACAAATTCGGGAGTCCCAAAAATGTTTTTGAATTCCACACCATCTTTGATCCTATGTGCCAAACCGAAATCAATAAGCTTGATTCGTGGCAGTTGGACATTATTATCCAACAGCATGATATTTTCAGGCTGAAAAACAATTAACAAAAACAATCAGTCAAAAACATGATAATTAAGTAATTCATTCAGTGACAGCTGTCCAGTGTCCAGGGGTCTGTTCTTCATACTTTTAATGATCTAAAATGATTTGGCAGATCCTGGATCTTTTAATCTTGATAACTGATCTTTGGCTAATTTGGTTCTTGAAACAAGTTTGTAAATCAGATTAAAATGTCTGGATAAACTCATCTGAGATCGCTGTGTGTGTTGTGAAGGACAGATCTATCGATCCTCGAAATGAGGATCAGCAATGCAATAATTGGCTGATGGCACAGCAGCATAATGACATAATTTGATTAATATTCAATTATCCATCTGAGAAAAATGATGCGCTTAAAATTAGCAGAAAATGGTTTGTTAAGGCGTACTCACACAGCTATCCGAACCCAGGCCAGTTTCCTGGATCGTTTGAGAAGTGTGAGTGCCCTGAATCAGCCTCAGGCACGGTTCAGTTGGCCGGCTCTGGCCCAGTTGGAAGAGGTGTGTCAGAGCACGGGTCACTTTGATTCATCTGAGCCCAAAATTGACGAGACGTGACTTTAAGGGACTGTTTCATATGGATCGATTAATCATTCTTACTAATTAATGAATGCAAACTGTCAGAGGTTATTAAAGACACAAACCCTTCACTGCACGACCGCTGCACCTTCAGCAAACCTCCTAATTCCTGCAACACGATGACTTTACGATTGTTTATGAGTGTCAAAAGTAGCTGATCTGTTGGGCAAAATATTTGACACATTTGTCACTGCATCAAAAACTACTAAAATGATATAATTATAGAAATCTCTACTGTGCTGAGCGAGACTGCTTCCTAAACAGAACAGCGCATCATCAATGACGTAAGCATGCTCAGGCCTGAATGCAATATGAGTGCAGGCCTTCGGGGGAGACATAAGGGGGACAAGCGTGCTTTGGCTCGGTTCAAGGCAACTGTACATAGTGTGAGTACACCCTTTAATATGATAATTGATATGCAATAACTTTCCACATTTGTTGTGAGCTACAGGCTTTACACTTTCATGTGTCAAGAGTATTCATCGTGTATTTCAATGCATATCAATGTATTTACTTTTAGAGAAGATTATTATTATTTATTATTATTATTTATTATAATAGCCTAGGCCTACTCAAGTTAAGATATAACTGTATAAATTGATTTAGCATCAAAACTGCATTTTGGTATGGATAAGGTGTGTGCAACTTTTGCGAAGCTTCAAATCAGCGGTCAAAACATGATAGTTCATGACTGCGTAAATTCTTTTTCTTTTAAGTCGAATATTGTGCATGTACGCGTTTGTATCTAAAACGTTTATATCAATAAATTTTCTCTTTGAACCATCAGGTGGCATTCTTTGTACTTTTATTTTGGAGTGCAGATTGCATGTTTTATAAATATGTATATATTTATAACTTTATATATATATATATATATATATATATATATATATATATATATATATATATATATATATATATATATATATATATATATATATATATATACTATTTTCCCAAGTGTATGTAATATCAGAATTCTGTACACATTTTTAGTATTATCTTTGCTTGAACTGACCCTATCTAATCCTGTTTATATGAAATTAACATGCTCCCAAGCAGGTTTGAGCTACCAGAACTGTTGCTATGACAACAAGTCTCAGATAAGTTTTAAAGAACTAAACGAGACTGGATTGTGTCAAATCGTCAATAACTAAATCCACCTAATTAAGTAATACACATACAGCTGGAACAAGAACAGACCCCAGCTCTGGTGGGATTACACATTGGATGCAAACATGTATAGTTGCTCTTCACAGTTGGTAATTTATCCCATTTTAGCTGCATGAGATTCACTTTTTTTTTTCAAGAAAAGCAGCAGCTTATTTGTATTTGAATGGACACACGCAGAAACTTATGTTTTGCTCAAACCCAGATAGGAGAAAATTTGACAAGCTTTAATAAAAAAAATTTCTATGGGGTATTTTGAAAAAACAAAGCAAAGTTATGGAACACATAATCTTTTATTTGTGAATACAGCATTGTCTAAATAGCTAATTATTGCATTCGTAATCTCTATGCATTCATAGATCTAGGTTTGATTATTGTTATGAACTTGATGGTTGTCCTAGATCTTCAGCAAACAAGCTACATGCTGCTGCTGAGTTCAGGGCAAGAAAATATAATGATACAACCCAATTTTTATATTTTTACTTTGACTACATACTAAAATCTGTATCAACTACAAAATATTGATGCTTTCTTATAAAGCACAATACAGTACATCTCCTGTCCTTTTACTAGTTTAGCTCATGTCCTTGATTATGCTATAGTCTATGATGCTCTTTAAAGGGTTAGTTCACTCAAAAATGAAAGTTCATCTATTTGTTACTGATCTTCACGTGGTTCCAATCCCCTGAGAACTTTGTTTACTCTTGGAACACAAAGTTGATTTTTTTACAGATATTTTAGATCAAATCTGAGAGCTCTTTGATCCTCCATAGATATAAGTAGTCCTGAGATGTTCAAAGTTTACAAAAGGAATACAAAAACATTGTCAAAACAATCAGTGATTCTTTGTCTTCTCTTCAGCAGATTACAGATAATATATTACATCTGTTAAAATTAATAGGTGATAGTTTTTAGAGAGTGTAGCAGTCATGAGTTTAATGACATAAAGAAAAAACGAGGTTATGAACAAAATAAGAAACACAAAAAAAGATTTATTTTAAGGATAAGATAAATTAAAATAAATTGGAACAAAAAAAGTAATCTAGCAATCTAGGTTATTCAAATGCTAAATGTATGAATTGATTTAACATTAACTTAAAAGTGGACGAGAAATTAATAACTCATCCAAAGAATATTGCCAAATCTTTTAATCTCTATTGTGTAATGTTAGCAAAAAAAAAAAAAAAAAAAAATGAAGTGAGAGTAAAGAAAGTGAAGAAAGTGATTTCCTTTTAAGCAATGTGATAGTTTTTTCACTATCCTTTTTTTTTTATTATAAGGAAGTTAAAATTAAGGGCTCCTGAAATTGCTAATATTCCTGCAAGATTTCATATAGACTCTGTTAAAGCTATTGCTTCCTTGGAATTACATATTTATGATTTATCAATTGAATAAGGGAAAATACCATGTGCTTGTAAAAGTGCTAGAGTTATACCATTATATAAAAAAGGATGTAAGCTAGATAAGGTTAATTATAGGCCTGTTTCAATCTTGGGGTTGATGTCTAAAATTCTGGAAAAAATAGTACACGAACAAATTGTTAGCTATATCAGTAAAATATTTTGTATGAGCTGAAGTCTCCGGGTAAGCAGTCTGTTGTTTGCTGATGGCTGCATGAAGTACATTCATAGCAAGCTTGGCATCAGCATCAGGAGGAATATAAGAGGCAGTTATAATAGTGGAGGTGAACTCCTGTGGCAGATAGAACGGTCTACATTTAACCATTAGAAATTCCAGGTTAACAAAGCAATGTCTCCCGATGATGAGTTTGTGCATCAACCTTTGTTAATATAAATGTATAATCCTCTGCCTCTGGTCTTGTCTGCTCGGAATGTGTGATTCTCAGTGAAAGATACAGCTTTGTCTGGTATCCTGCTGTTTAGCCATGTTTCTGTGAAAATCATGACATTACAATTCCGTAATCTTTTGCTGTGGTTGATGCACAGTCGAATCTCATCCATTTTGTTCACCAGTGACCTTACATTGGCAGAATGATGCTGGGTAAAGAGAGCCGGTGTGGTGTTAGCTTTAGCTTAGCTCTTAACCCACCGTGCTTCCCCCGTCTTAAGGCTAATTTATACTTTTGCGTCAAGTGCACGCGTATGCTACGACGCAGCCTACGCATTGACACATAGCCCTAGGCCGTGGCCGTCAGCGTAGCTGACGTGCACCTCTGAAAAAATGAAACTACACATTGCAACGACGCGTAGCGCAAGCTCTGTGATTGGTCGGCTTGATAGCGCTGACGAGTCTGGGCGGGACTGAGAGCCGCGCGAGCAATGCGAGCCCGATGGAGTGATTGTTTACAAATGTGGAGTCCCGCGAAGGAGCTCTGGATGGAAAGTTTTTTTCCCTTCAGTTGGGGAACTTCAGTGCTATAAAGTGGATTTGATCTTGGAAAATCCACGTATGGGAGGTTTCGGTTCAGAAGCCGCTTGTCTGAAAGAGTATTGAATGGGCCAATGAATGCAATTAATTGGCAGCGTAAGCTTGCACAGGTGTGCTTCATTGCCAATTATCCCAGCATATAAGCACACCTGGAGCGAGCAAACGCCATCCTTTTCGCTTCAGAGACTTTCTGATCGAGTCGATGAGGGTTCCTTCTGCTGTGATCCAGCGATTCCGAGCAAACGAGAGCATTCTCCCAGTCCAGAGTGTGTACAGGCAGGGACAGACGGTTGAGCTAGGGTTCTCCCTTGCCTGGCATTCTTTGGGTCCAGTCCTCCAGAGCGGTGCGTGTAAAGTTGCAACTTCACAAAGAGAGCAACGCAGTCATGCAGCACGTCCTTTTCAGGATGGCGCTCTGACTGTGCGTTTCTGGATGTGGTGATTTCCTGTCCTCAGATGATGGGCATGGGCACTGCGTTGCATGCCGGGGGGGGTCCAGCATGTTAATACGCTGCTCGCGGGCAGTTCATGTCGTCATTGCGATGCCATAACTGTTGCGCAGTAAAGATCGCGGCTAGCCTTTGCAAAAGGGCAAACCACCCCAGTTGTTCCCTGCTCTGCAGCGGGCACTCGGGCAGATCTGAGGGTTTCAGTGAGAGATAATCTGTCGCCCACGGGCCCGCAGACCCCCCACTCCTCCAAGCGCTCCATCAAAGCTTCGGGCGGGGGAAGCAATTCGTCTAACAGATGGTAGCCCTTATGCTCGATGACACCGGAGACCAGACGTCCACCGCGGCATGGGAGGGTGGGCTTTCATTGTCCGATGATGATCCAGACCCGCTCACCCCCTCCGG